CACCTGTCCACTCACCCACCCACCCACCTGTCCACTCACCCACTCTCCCACCATCGTTTCATCCACCACCCATCAGCCCACCTACCCCTCTGTCCACCCACCACCCACCACCCCTGTCTGCCCGTCTTGCCGCCTGTCCATTCACCTACCCCCAGCCCCCGACCCTGTGCTTCCGTCCACTCCTGCCCACCCACGCAGCCTCTCCTCTCGGCCCCACTCGGCCCCTCCTGCCCCGGGGCCCTGCGCTGGTGGAAGGACACAGCCCAACACGGCCCCGGCCCTCAAGGACCCACGCAGTCCACACCCAGGGTGCCCACCAGGATCACGGTCCCAGGGCCACCGTGGAGTGTGGGGTTGGTGGCGCCGGCAGCAGCGAGGGCCTGAAGGGGCGTCAGCGTGGTGTGACGGGCGGGAGAGGCGGGATCCAGGGCGCAGGAAGCTCATCCGGGCCGGCTTGCTGCAGCCCAGGCTGCGGTGACAGGAGGGGGACGTTCCCCGGGAGGGCTGTGTGCGGGGCCCAGGTGGCCCGGGAGGGACTCTGCCTTAGTCCTTAGTCCAGGTTGGGGGGCAGCCCAGGGCCTGTGCTCCGCAGCCGGCAGCTGTGGGCCCCGTGGGCGCCGAAGCTCCGCCATCCTTCCCGGTGGCCAGGGGCCATGCTTTCCTCTGCGCAGGCCAAGAAGAGGCCATCTGAGGTGTGTCCCACGCAGGCTCCGCGGTGGGCTCGCTGCGGTGGGCACCCTGTCCATGGTGGACTCTGGCTAGGAACGATTCCCACCTCTGCCCCAGGGGAGGAAACCGGGGTCGGGGAGGGGCAGTGGCCCGGCCAAGGCACCCAGCCCTTGGGGACGGAGGCTGCGCTGCCATCGGGGCTGCCGTCTCCAGAGCCCAAGCTGCTGCTCCGGGTCTTTCCTGGGGACCAGGGAGCCCCACCGCAGGCAAAGGGGACAGGGACTCAGAGGGCCCAGGGGGTTGCCGATCCCACGTCTGGAAGACAGGACATTGAAGAGTGGACAAGGAGGGGACAGCTGAGGGGGAGAGGGCGGGACACCTGCAGCTGAGGAGCCCTCGGGAAGGGACTCTGGACAGCACTGGCTCCTGTCCTGCTCCTGGGGGCTGAGGCTTCTGGGGACGGCAGGTGCCCTGTGCCAGGGTGTTGCAGGCCCCAAACCCCAGTTACCCAGGAGGGCCATGTCCAGCCTCCTGGCCTCCCGTGTGCAGCCACCTGGCCAGACCCCCAGCCTCAGAACCAGACTGAGGGAGGAGGGGCAGGGGAGGAAGGAGGGGCAGGTGAG